ACTCTACGAGTCTGGGAGATGACTCAGCGAGTCGGGCTAGAGATCAGACTTTGAGTCACGTAGTAACTCGGCGAGTCGCATGGGTGACTCGGCGAGTCTTATGATGATGAGCTTGGACTCGACGAGTTGGAAGAACAACTCGGCGAGTCTGTTAAAGATTGCCTTGGACTCGACGAGTCTGTTCTTGGACTCGGCGAGTCTGGTCGCAGAACCCCTAACCTCTTTTGGTTAAGATGCAGATCAGTGAGTCGAGGGGTGACTCAGTGAGTTGGACAGGATGGGACTCGGAGATCGTTGGACTCGACGAGTCTTGGGGTGACTCGGCGAGTAGACTCGGGTTATGGGAATTTCTGAGTATAGGGACTCGACGAGTCGACGGGTCGACTCGGCGAGTAGAGTCAGTCAGGGAGGTTGACTTTGACTGAGGACTTTGACTTTGACCAAGAGTTGACCAGTTTGACTTCCAAGGGTATTTTGGTGATTTTGGTGTTTATGGAATTGGTTCTTTGGTAGTGTTCGGTGGTGGAGTTCGTGTCGGTGATCGGAGCAGCTGATCTTATCCTTTCAGTCGGCAATTGCGAGGTAAGTTATCCTCACTATATCGACAGAGTCTACGGCACCAAGGTCGGCCCTTTATCGGATGGAAATCCGGGTATTGTTGTTATGTTATTGTTTTGCTAGATCTGCATCCTGGTATTTAGTATGGTGTTATGTTAGTGACCTGGTTAAGGTCGGTACCCGGGATATAGGGTAATGTTATGCTAGTGACCGGTTAGGTCGGAATCCTGGTTAGGATGTTGATATGTTATGTGATCTGTTAGACTATTTGTCTGGTTGAGGATTGTTATGTGATTGATTGTTTTATGTGCACATGGTTGTTTGACGGGGGTTGGGTTGAGGTGGGTCCTGCTTTGTGCTGAAGGCCAACATACCCAGGGCGGACCGGATATTCCGAAGGCCCAGCGAGTGGTCCGGATAGGCTGAAGGCCCCAAGAGGGCGGACCAGATATGCCGAGGCTCGGGGAGTGGACCAGGCCGACTGAAGGCCCGGTGCGGGCGGACCAGTCATACTGTAGACTCAGAGAGTGGACCAGGTGGATTGAAGGCCCGGTGCGGGCGGACCAATCACACTGTAGACTCGACGTACATGGCTAGACTCGGAGGGTGGACCAGGTGGACTGAAGGCCCGGTGCGGGCGGACCAGTCACACAGTAGACCCGATGTGCATGGTTGTTCTATTTATGATATGTTATGAGTATGATATGTGTGGTTGGTATTTTGGGGGTAACTCACTAAGCTTTCGGGCTTACAGTTTCAGTGTATTGTTTCAGGTACTTCAGGAGATCGTGGCAAGGCGAAGGCGTGATCGTACCGCTCCTCATGTTTTATGATTTATATGATATGGTTCTGGGGATACTCTGATGTTTAAACTATTTTGAAAACGAGTTGTATGAACGTAATGGTTTTTGAATGATTAAAATGTCTTAATTTGGCTTAAATTTTATGGGTGTTACACAAATACATGCCCGGCATGATCCCTCATGACTCTTGCCGCACTTGCCACAAGTGCGGCCCTTCTGGCCCCCAACTCTCCTATCAGCGGGCTTAGCCCGCTTCGTCGCCGGCTGCGATTGCATTGGTCTCCGGTCCTTCCCCTGAGACTCTCCCTCCTCTCTAGCCTGTAGCTCTAGCTCAATCTCCCTCCTCCTGGCATTGGTCTGAAGCTCAGTCAAAGTCTGGTATGACGAGTTCGCCACGGACTCCCGTATATCCCTCCTCAATATGCTCAAATACCGGCGCACACATACCTGCTCAGTAGACACGTGCTCAGGGCAAAACAGCGCCCTTTCATGAAACATCCTCGAAATCTCTGTCACAGTTTTTGTCTTCTACTTAAGAGACAGAAACTCCTGGGCTAACCGTTCTCTCTCCACCTAGGGAACATACTCATCTCGGAACAATCGTTTAAACCTCTCCCATGTCGCTGCAACATGGTCTCCAGGAGTAAAGCTAGCAGTCATGAACTTCCACCAGTCCTTTGCTCCCAAGCGAAGCTGGTTCAGCGTAAACCGAACTCTCAGGTGCTCTGGGCATGAACACATATAGAAACACCCCTCAATGTCAGAGATCCATATCATGGCAGCAATTGGATCCTGTTTCCCATCAAACTCTGGTGGCTTCGTGTTGCTGAAATCCGGTAACAACATCGAGTCATCTCCATGTGGTCTAGCAGCAGCCAAGGCTGCGGTGGCTGCAGCAGTAGCATCCTCAGTAACAGCAGCGTATCGCTCATCGAATGTCTCAATCAACATGGTCTTAATACACCCAAACATATTTGGTATAGCCTCCCTGATAGTTGCGGCCACCTCCTCATGTATGATCATGCAGATCTCCTCGTCACTGTTCCCACTGCTCCTGGAGTTGTGGCGAGTAACCACCATAATGTCTCTGAAACACAACACAAAAATCATTAGAGACTAGCTCAAGCACACACACTCGATTACCTGACCCTACATGATCCTTAGCATCCTAAGGACTCTCACTTGGGTCGCATACGGATCGGGTGCTTTTAGTAGTACGGGCCCAATACTACCTTCCACACCAACCCGTAGTCGTCCCAAGTCCTCCTCCTAGGATCCTAATTCACAGTACTCTATCCCTCACTGATCTCAAACTACTCTATCGGTAGATTCCTTACTGATCTTCTAGGTATCTCTCCTAGATTACTCAAAGCTCTCCCTAAAGATTCCTACTATGTTTCTCCCTACTCAGTACACACATAGAGCAATTAGCAGATAAGATCAATCAATAGCATACCCTAGGCTAAGGCATCATGAATCACGCAACTCTAGTCCTAATTTCTGAAATACTTAGCCTATCCCCTAGCATGCAACTCTAACATCTCATAAGTATCTCATAATATAACAAGTGATTGTATTTTGGGAAATCACCGTTCGGGCTCTGGCTGATTGTACACACTGCTCCGTCTCGTTTTCTCTTTAAAACTCATACTCATTTTTATAAAAAAAGATCATTTATTTTCAGAAAAATCGTCTTAAGCCCTCAGTTTGAGTCCAGACATACCCGAGGGTACGTACGAATCCCTCAAACCAAGGCTCTGATACCAACTTATAACACCGTAAATTTTCAAACAAATTTTTCGTTTTCAAAATCACATAATTCTCCATATCACATTTCAAAAATACCAATTGTCAAATTGTCAAAAACACAAATTCATAAATTGTTTGATAAAATCCAGGATCCTCAAAACATAAACTCCATCTCATATGTACAATCAAGTCGGCGCCTTCCCACGATCCTGAGAAGTACCTGAAACACATATCACATAACACGGTAAGCACAAAGCTTAGTGAGTTCCTCTACCACACACATCTTATTAGCCTCTCATGGCTATGTCTCGATAAAGACCCTCCGGTCAATGTGTCTCAGTGGAGACCCTCCAGTCCCACAACTCGGGTTGGACCCTCCGGTCCTAACTCAATAAAGCTCGGGATAATACACAACATAAATCACAAAGACATAATGCTTGATATCACATAACTCAGAATAAGTGTATAAGACCCTCCGGTCACACAATGTTACCACTCAGGTAAGTATAGTAAGAAGACTCACCTCGTAAGTAAGCAAATAAGCCTCGTACCCCTCGAAGAGTCTAATCTCCGCCTACATGCCATAATCATCTCTAATTAGAACTTATAACCACAAATATAAATAAATTAAGCTAACCCCTCAATCTAACTCTTGAAATGTGTAAAATACCATTCTACCCTTCTATGGTCTCCATAATCCATGTCTTGACCAACCCTAAAGTCAACAGAAGTCAACACTCGAGTCAACAGTCCATGTTGACCCAACTCGTCGAGTGCATCTATGCGACTCGTCGAGTTCCCTCGTTTCCTTAGAAATATCGTGAAAATCCAACTTAACTCGTCGAGTTGTCTCGTCAACTCGCCGAGTTACAACGCGTCCAGACTCATCGGGGAAAACCCTAACCGACTCGTCGAGCCGGCTCACCAACTCGTCGAGTCCCTTCAGTCCATTTTCTTATTCAAATGATTTCGGGCAGAAATAAGGTCTCATACTCTGGATCTAGCCTTTTAAGACCGAATCATCACGTAAAACTACAGGCTTTACGTTCATGCATGGCATCTAGGGCTCAAATGTTCTTATTGAATGTTGATTTTGATAAAGCTTTCGATTTCATTAACTGGAATTATTTGGATTCGGTGATGACGCAAATGGGTTTCGGTGATAAATGGTGATTATGGATTAAGGAATGCCTCTCATCTTCACGTGCTTCGGTCCTCTTAAATGGATCGGCTACAAAGGAATTTCCCATTACAAGGGGTGTTAGCTAAGACGACCCTCTCTCTCCATTCTTGTTTATCATTGCCATGGAGGGTTTAAATTGTAACATTCCGTCTAAATTAATTAAAATAAATAATAAAACTGGTACCCCAAGATGTAAATTTATAATTTATATTATTTTATAGTGGCCCTAAAATCAATAATATTTAGCCGGGTGTTGGTTTCGGGGAGCCAAAGGATATAATTTTGATTTCTGAGGGTTAAAACTTAAATTCCGGATTACTTTGTAAGGAATTTTGAAGGTTGAGGGTTGTTTAGTAAATTATGGGTTTAATTTGAAAGGATTTTTGAAGACAGGGGTTGTTTGGTAACTATTAGGACTTAAAATGAAAGGAATTATGGAAGAGAGGGGCTGAATGGTAAATATTGGGCTTAATTTGGAAAAGATCTTATGGGGAGGGACCAGAAATGTAAAATGTGCCAAACATTGAGTGGACACGGGATTAAACTCGTTCCTTCCCCCTCGTCGCATAGGAAAACCCTAACCCTAATACTATTATACTCAGCCGCCACCTTATGCCCCCATCCCTCCAGCCGTCGTCACCACCCAACTCCCTCTAGTCCTTCCGATTAGTCGAAGCTCCAAGCCATCGAACATCCACCGCCAGCCCATGTTGCCGACAATGACGAAGATTGCTAGGAACTCGGGGACGTCGCAACAGTGGAAGATCGATCATTTGCGGTTGTTTCCGGTGACGGATAACCACCACCTCCCCGCCGTAGTCACTTATTTTTCTTCTTCTTCTGTTCCATCGACCATCGGTACCATTCGACGCCTCGTCACCATGGTGAGCCGTCGTCTTGCTCATCGTATTTTTCGTGGCCGACGACGACTAGGACGCAAGTGAGCAGAGGTTCTTCCATGTCGCCGCTACTGCTGCACTCGCAAGGAAGTTATCGTACCCTTGCCAATGTTGCCGCCCCGAGCGGTCGCCGATAGTGGTTGCCAACCGCCATGTCCGCCGTACGCCACCATATAGGAGTGGATGAGTTCGTAGGTCGAAAGCGGGTGTGTATGCTGCTGTATTGTGCTAATCTTGTGGGTGTATTTATGTACGAGTATGTGTTGTGTGTGGTGTTTATTTGGCCGGAAAAGCCACCACCACCGCCTTGAGGTGGTGGCTGCCACCACGTACCACCGCCGACCACCACGAGGGTGGTTGTGTGTGTGTGTGTGTGTTTATCTTAGTATGTGTGTGTGTGTTTAATTGGGTTTTTGTGTTGTATATTGTAATCGAGATGAAATAATGAAAGGAAAACTCGTAACCACCACCGTGAGGTGGTGGCTGTCGCCTCCTACCGCCACCAGCCGCCGTGTTGGGTGGCAGTGTGCTTTGTTGTGCTTAGACTTCGTTTAGGATGCTTGGACAAAAATGGACTAAAACCATGACCACCACCGTGAGGTGGTGGCCGCCGGCGTGTGCCGCCGTTGACCACTACTACCCGAGGTGGTAGTGGGTGGTGCCCGACTTAGGAAAACCCTAATTGTCCTAATGAAACCCTAATGGGCCTAAGGACTTAGCGTTTGGGTCTAATGGGATTGTAATGGGTTGGAAACCCTAATTAGGGTTTAGAAAACCCTAATTTTGGAATTAGTGGTTTGGACTTATCGGGACCCGCATTTTGGACCATTGGAGTGAAGATATGACTTAAGCCTGATTTCATTGTATGTTTGGACTTAATAGATTAAGTCTTTAATGGGTTAAGTGGGAACACTTAACCCTAATCATCATTTTATGTGAAAAACCCTAATTGGATTTGAGTTCTTATCGGGATATTTATTGGACTAAGCTGCTATGGGCCTTTGTGGGCTAATGGGGAACACATTTATGGACTAAGGAGATTATTGGGCTTTAGGATAAGACCCATTAGAGAGGCTTGGGCCCAATTTGGAAAATTGGACCATAAGTGGGCCATAATTGGGCCTTAAAGATTATTAGCTATTGGGCCATCAGAATGCCAATTGTTTGGACTAGAATAATTGGTTGGGCCTTAAAATAAGTCAATGTAGAGGTTTGGGCCCAATTTGGAAAATTGGGCCATATGTTGGGCCTTAGTTGATTATTGGGCTTTTGGGCTTTCCGAGTTTGAGTTTGGGCCTTGGTTTTGAACCAAGCTAGGTTAGGGGTAAAATGGTCCATTTACCCCAAGTGTAGATTATGGTTAGGTATTGGAACCCAATTATTAATTGGGTGTCGTTTCGATGATTGGCAGTTCGGGAACCTGTCAACCAGCAGCTACAGTTTTATCCGCAGGACTTCAGCAGTTTCAGGTGAGTCTCCTCACCATACCAATGGGTCTAAGGCACCAAGGCTGGCCCATTCAGTTAGTTGTAGTGTTTATTGTAGATTCACTACTGATATGTCTGGTATGCATGTATATGTGGTATGCTAGTGATTATGTGGTATGTTATTGACTATGTGGTATGTGTTATGCTAGTTGTCTTTGTGATATTTGCATGGAAGACCATGGGGGAGCCCATGGCACCGGATGTAAGATCATGTGGAGAGCCCATGGCTTTCCTATTAAAGACCATGGGGGAGCCCATGACACTTGGATGTAAGACCATGTGGAGATCCCATGGCTTTCCTATTGAAGACCATGGGGGGAGCCCATGGCACTTGGATGTAAGACCATGTGGAGAGCCCATGGCTTTCCTTTTGAAGACCATGGGGAGCCCATGGCACTTAGGTGTAAGACCATGGGGGGAGCCCATGTCATCCTGGAGTAAGACCCTGGGGGAGCCCACAACATTCGTATATGTTTATATGCATGGTTATGTGATTGATATGGTTATCTGATTGATATGGTTTATGTAGTTGTTATAGCTAATGTGGATTATGTGGTTATGTGGATTGTGTGGGGTATGCTCTGGGGAACTCATTAAGCTTCGTGCTTACAGTTTTGTTTATTATTTCAGGTATCATCGGTTTGGAAAAAAGGGCCCAGATTGATCGCAGTGCACACACCCATGTTTTCCGCATTGAATGATTTTGGGATGGACTCTGATAAATGTTTTAATTAATAATGTTTTGGATGTTTGGAATAAATGATATCTATGTTTTGACTATATAAAAAAATGAAATTTTTAACATTGATTTTTGGGTCGTTACATAAATGTTGCATTGAGATCGGCTCGTCAAAATTCTTTATTTCATGGTATTCAAACTCCTAATGGTGGTCATCTGATATCTCACCTCTTTTATGCCGATGATGTCCTATTTGTTGGTGAATGGAAAAGTTCAAACTTTGCCAACTTAGCCCGTATTTTATGTTGTTTTCATGCAACTTCCGATATAAAAGTTAACTTTCACAAGTCAAATGTCTATGGAATTGGTGTCTCGGCAAATGAGGTTTTGAGTTGTGCTTGTATCCTTGGATGCGATGTGGGCGCGTTCCCCTTCAAGTACTTGGGGGTGCCGGTTGGTGCTAATATGACCCTTAAAAGGAATTTGATGTCTATTGTTGGTAGGGTCCATAATCGCCTTTCGTCTTGAAAAGCCAAGACTCTATCCTTTGGTGTACGTTTAACACTTGTGAAGTCGGTTCTTCGCAGCCTTTCCTCTGTACTATTTCTCTCTATTTAAAGCTCCAAGGTCTATTATTGATATCCTTGAGAAGATGTGGAGACGATTCTTATGGGGCGGTAATGACAAAATAAATAAATTTAATTGGGTTGCACGAAAAGTAATACTTGGATCTAAAGAGAAGGGATGTCTTGGAGTCAGATCGTGACAATCGTTGAACTGGGCTCTTCTTACCAAATGGTTTTGGCGTTTCAAGACGAATCCTCTATCTTTTTGAAGGTGTGTTATCAGCTGGATTCATAATCTTGATAGAAAACCTATCAAGTCCATGGCTAAAAAATCTTTCCCTGGTGTGTGGTACAATATTTCTACGGTGATTCGTGATTTGGATGACATCGAAATTGATTATTATTCCGTTTTTGATATCCGCATAAAGTCGGGCACGAGTACTCTCTTCTGGTGTGATAAATGGATTGGTGTAAACAATCTCGCCACCCTCTTCCCATCTCGTTTTGAAGTGGACAAGAAAAAATCATGTCTGGTTTCAGAGAGAATGGACCCAAATTCGATTAACTGGGCTTGGAAACGAGCTCCCAGCAGCCTCGTGGAGATCATTGAATTTTCTGATATCACTGATTGCTTGGATTCAGTGGTTATGATTGATGGCAGTGATTTGTGGAAATGCTCCTTATCCTCCGAAGGGAATTTTTATGTTTGTGACCTCCGAAAGTTGATTGATTCTAAATTGACTGTTCTGGTGGACACTCCTACTGTTTGGTGCAGATTAGTTCCTCTTAAAGTCATTATTCTCACTTGGCGGGATTGTATGGATCGTGTTCCTTCTACGACTGCCCTCTCCCGTTGTGGGATTAACATTCCTACCACCACCTGTTATAGTTGCACATCGGGGCTTGATGATACACATCACAGTCTTTTGGGCTGCTTGTTTGCTCAAGATACTTTGCTCAAAATCTTGAAACGGTGCAAGTTCTCGTTCCAACAATTATCTTTTGTCGCTGAGATGGTTAATTTTGCAGCTAATTTGGGAAACTGCCCTAAAAAAAAGCTCCTTTTAGCCATCTTCTATGGCAACCTTTGGTGTGTCTGACGTGCCCGAAATGAGAAAGTTTTCACCAACACGTGTGTCTCTTCCTTGAAACTGGCGGACAATATTATTGCTGTGGTATTTAATTGGGTTAAACAAATGGAAAAGTACAGATGGACTAATTGGTGTGATTCTCGTTTTTGTATTATGTATTCGTTTTGTACTTTTCTTTTTTCGCCATGCCTTTCCTTTTGGCGGCAGCATTAATGTCTTGCAAATCTTAACCTCCATTTAAAGCCCTAAACTAGATAGGTTTTGTATTTATTTAATATTAATGTCTTGCAAATCTTAACCTCCATTTAAAGCCCTTATTGTCTGTATCGATGACATTTATGAATGAAATGTAGTCTTTTGTCGACTATATTGATGGCATGGATATCTTTTGTATTGTTTCTAGGTTTTTGTTAATTTATGCAACAAATTATATAAGTCTATAAGATAATAAGATGATGTATAAGCCAATAAAAAAAATTAAAAAATAATCACACATATTAATTCAATAATTCTATAATGTTACGTGTTTTTTTCAAAAAAATTTCCCAAGTGTCACACTTGTTTTTACACAAATGAGTTGCAGAGTTGGCACCCAATGCTAATGCCATTGAGGGTATAAGAGCCATTTACTATCAAGTCCAATACATTTCCCTTGGTTACCAACAGATGCTAGTTAAAGTAAAACCACTACAATTTTTTCTTAAAGATTTTCTTGCCCAAAAGATGTTTATTTGATAAAATATAAAAAGAATGTTATATTTTAACCTTATTTTTACGCAAATGAGTTCACACTTCACACCTTTCTTGCCTCATCCCAAAAGAAAAACCGAGGAACAACGTGCAAAGGGCCAAAAGCTCCAAAAAGAGTGGGCACCCAATGCTACCGAGGGTATAATAGTAAACTACTACAAGCTCCAAGTTCTTCAATTACTTTCTAGAATCTAGATCTCACTAGTCAAAACTACTATCAAAGATTTCCTGCCCAAGTTGCTAGGATGCAAGCTCTTGTTCAACTGCCACTCATAGAACATGAAACTTGCAGACCTTAAGCTTCTCTTTAATGGCGGTTCTTAGTCTCCCTTCTTTCTTGCTCATCTTCTTCTTCGTCTTCTCTGCTGCATTACCAGGTACTTACACAACTCAAATTTCCACTTTACAGCTTCAGAAAACCTAGTTTAATCAATCCCTTTTATTCCAAGATTATAAATTTACAGTACCCAATCAACAAACACAGCTTCTCGACACAAAATTCAAGAAACTCACCTTAAACACAATCAAATCCACACACCCCACTTCGAAATTTCAAAATTTTACACTCTTATGCACAAATTGAAGAACCCTAATGGCATTTTCTATTTATATGCAGAGGTTAAAGCACAACAAGCTAAAGACGAACCTTATGTGGGAGTTAACATAGGAACAGATGTCTCAAATTTACTTCCACCTGCAAAATTAGTGTCATTCTTGCAACAACAAAAGGTAACCCATATCCGTATCTATGATTCCGACCCGGAAATCCTCAAAGCCCTATCAAAAACCAAGATTCGGGTCATCGTTTCAGTACCCAATAACCAAATCCTCGGTATCGGGTCATCCAACACCACCGCAGCAAACTGGATCAACAAGAATGTCGCCGCATTCTACCCGGACACCCTCATCACCACCGTGGCAGTCGGCGATGAGGTGTTAACCACCGTCCCTTCGTTATCTTCCATGTTAATGCCCGCCATTGAATCGCTTTACAGTGCTTTAGTCGCATCAAATTTACATACCCAGATCAAAATCTCCACCCCGCATGCTGCCAATATCATTCTCGATCCATTCCCACCTTCACAAGCTTATTTCAATCAAACCATTTCGCCTGTTGTCGTCCAGCTTCTTAAGTTTCTTTCAAGGACTAGTTCGCCATTGATGATGAACATGTACCCGTACTATGTGTTTATGCAAAACAAAGGAGTCGTCCCTCTTGATAATTCGTTGTTTAAACCATTAACACCTTCGAAAGAGATGGTCGATCCGAATACATTATTGCATTACACAAACGTTCTTGACGCCATGATCGATTCCGCTTATAACTCAATGAAGAATCTAAACGTTTCCGATGTTTTGGTTCTTGTAACTGAAACTGGTTGGCCTTCAAAGGGAGACTCAAAAGAACCATACGCAACAATCGATAATGCGGATACATATAATTCGAATTTAATCAAACATATTCTTGATCGAAGTGGGACACCTTTGCATCCTGAATACACTTCTAGTGTTTACATATACGAATTGTTTAACGAAGATTTGAGGTCGACTCCTGTTTCTGAAGCGAATTGGGGGCTTTTTTATGCAAATTCGACTCCTGTTTACTTGCTTCATGTATCTGGAAGAGGTGAATTTTTAGCGAATGATACTACGAATCAAACGTTTTGTGTTGCAATGGAAGGGGTTGATGGTAAAACATTGCAAACTGCTTTGGATTGGGCTTGTGGGCCCGGAAGAGCAAATTGTTCAGAAATTCAACCAGGGGAAACTTGTTATTCACCTAATAATGTTCAAAATCATGCTTCATATGCATTTGATAGTTACTATGAAAAAGAAGGAAGGTCTACAAGTTCTTGTGATTTCAAAGGTGTTGCCATGATCACAACTACTGATCCAAGTAAGTACTTCTTTCATTGCACAATGTACATCATTTTATGCTAGTATGATAATTCTTGAATCTTGTCAACTTAAAAAGGTTCAAACTTTATAGCTATAATCACTTCATTTGCCATAAAAAAGCTATAGTATGAATCTTTTTTAGTCATTTGTTGAAGATATAGGACATTCTTGAAATCCTTTGAAAATTTCAAGATTCATAAGTCATAGGATGCTTCTACTGTTTGACACTGTATATGAGTATGTGTTTGCAGTGTTGTGTCCACTTATAAGACAGAAGGACAAACACTTGTCATCTTTTTTTGACAGATTTGAGTGAAAACAGTAGAACGTATAGAATGTAACCAAGAAAGTTGCAGATTATGACTGTTTTAGCCCTGAAAAAGGGTCATTCTCTTGTCAAGAAGAACTAGGGTTATTCTTTTGTCAAGAACTAGGGTTATTCTCTTGTCAAGAAAGTTGTAGATTTTAAAGAGCATATACACTTATTATTATTATTTTTGTCATATCATTTTTCCAATAATTTTATATACCAAAAACTTACACCTACAAACTTTCTCCAATGCGTTCACTTTTTTCAAGAGCTTCTTTTATAAGTTAATAATTCGGTCTCATCTATCTTAAATGTTTGTAAACTCCCCTCAAAATTTGTTGTTTTTTGAAGCACGTGCCATATTTCAATACCCGATATTTAAAAAAATATAAAAGACAAGTATTTTTCGAAAATATAAAAGATGATAATATTACTATGCATGTAGCTATAAAAAACTATAGAAAATATTTAATATTCGACATTGGGGAGTAAAATGAAACATTATTAAATATTTAATACAATAGATTAGTTAGTGACAAATAATGAAAATGTGAATTTCAAATATAATTAGGGGACTAAAATGAAACCTTATTGAATTAAAGGGGTTAGAAATTTACCAAAAGATACATCCCATTACAGCTTCTATACTCAGACTCAAATCTTTGTAAAGTTTGGTCTTTTTTAGTACATTTAAATTATTTAGAAATGGGTATGAAAATAAATAGAAATTTAAGGGCCCCAACTGTTATAAATTATGTAAATAACTTTCTTTTTTTGCTCTGATTTATGTACCCACTGCAGGTCACGGGGTCTGTGTATTTCCAGGAAGGTTAGCTACATTTTTCTGCCATCTTTTGTACCTTTATTTGTCCCATTTCTCATTTCCCAAAAATAATTCATTAAAACTTACAAAAAAAGAATATTTCTTTTTTATTAAACAACACTTTAGTATGATACTTTTAGTAATAAAGGAGTGTAATGACTGTAATCATGCTACTAATTATTGCAAAGATCTTTTTGAGTTTATTTATGATTAACGTATTTGTAAAAAGACCAGTTTCATAATTCGATCCCATTATCTTTCTAGTAATTGTTTATTTATTTATATATAATATATAATATCTTTATTTAATGTATTTGCAGTAAGATAATAAGCAATAGAACGAACACAGTGGTGAACTCGACCAATGCAACAAGTGGCATGGAAACATCAAGATTCGTTGGGGACAATTTACGTGTTTTTTGGGGACTGATTATTGGTGTCATCTTCTGTTTATTTATTTTGTGACCTCAAAGGTGAACTTATGAACTTAAAACAGAATTGAAACTTTTCTTGAATATTTTATATTGATACAGTTTTCTGTTTTTGTAGAAAAAAGAAAGAGGAAGATGGAGCTTTTGATTCTTTTTTATGGGTTTAAATATTTTGTATAATGTTGTATTTAGTGTTTAGGGTAATTCATGGTGGAAGTCGAGAATAAATAGATGAGTTTGAGCATGTTTTATCCTCCATAAAAATGGTTTTGCTCAACATTTTGGTTGTGTAAGATGTTGAAAATTCAAGCATTAGTAGCCTAGTGTTGTTTTGTTTCGTTATCCAAGGGCTTGAAGGAATAAATTGTTGAAAAATTTGCTGTATGCTTCCGTCGGCTTATTTTTGTTAAGTATTCATTTATTCTAGATTTTTTTTCAAGCAAAAAAATTAGAGTGTAAGTATGTATATTTAAACTTGACTAATCCTATTTAAAAGTAGGGACGAGCATAGGCGGGTACCCACCTCACTTCATCGGAACCGGAACTGGCCTAGGCGGTTATTAAATTTTTGGAACCGACGGTTCTGGTTCCGGGAGCGGGTAACCCGGTTACACTATTTTTTTTTAGTTTCATTAATGCAAAATAATTCTTAACCATTTAAACAAAAAGTAAATACTATAACTAGTTCATTATTATATAATGATGTACCAGACCGGTAATCCGAGGAAATCCATTACCGGCCCAGTACTTAACAGATTGGCGTTACAAACACCGCGACTTATTACGAACGAATATAAATTCGAATACATCGTACACAAGTATCGAAACCATATCACAGGAAACATGCAAAAGAAACGGTACGGAACAATAAAGAAAACAAGGAAAGGACAAGGGACCTGCTTGCGTGTAGACCGACCAAGGATATAAACTCTTTTAACAATGAACAACCTATAAATACCCCCAAATACATGATATCTGAGGAGCAAGGTAAGGCCAAAAAGAGACATCATACATAGCATTAAGGCAACACCAGAAACCGCAATCTAATTTAGGCATCGGAGAGCTATGTCGGGAGCCAGCCCTCAGTATGACTGTCAGACCTAGCACTTGTTTATCTTATGCAGAGCGGATTCCCAGACGCTTATTAGACTGAGACATTTGGGTGAAAGAGCTAAGCATGCGCCTGGAGTTCGCCGTAACAACATTGGCACCATCCGTATTATGAGGGTACCAGAGTGACAAACAAAGGGAACACCCCACAAGCAGATCAAAATTTAAACACCACGGGCAGGGCAACATGTCAAATAGTAAAGCAAAAGAAATAAACTACCCAATGCATGTAGGAAAAAAAGACACTGAGCATCTACAAGGTATGTTTAATGGAGAAAAAGAACATATTACTCACCACCAAGAAGACGGTTCGATACTTATAATGGACAAATATACGATATAGGCATTCATAGGATATACTGCAATAGTGGGAGTTCGCCTGAAATTATGTACGACAACTACTTTTCACAGTTACCAGAGCAAACACGAAAAAAAAAAAAAAACAACCAGCAGGGCATGTAACAAGCTTTGCGGGACATTCTGTGTGGCCGAAAGGGATATTTTCCGTCCCACTAACTTTAACAGATCGGTTAACACAAGCCAAGAATATACAAATAATAGCTTTCACGATCGTGCAATCAACGTCACCATACAATATCATATCCGGGAGAAGCGCAATGAGAAAGTTCGAAGCAATCGTGTCAAGAATCCACGACGCGATCCGGTTCCGAACGACAAATGGATATGAAACGGTCCACAATAAACCACCAACGGGACATGTAGCGATGGTGGTAGAGAACGGAGCAAGTATGACGATTCGGAAAAAATGCATGCAAATAATGGATTAGAAGAAACTATAATCAATACCAGATATGCAGACCAAGGAGTGCGGATCGGAGTAGGGTTACCATGCAAGTTAAGAGACGGATTGACGACACTCTTAAAAGAAAATGTTGACGTATTCACGTGGGAGGCAGCAGACATGACCGGTATGCCCAGACAACTGGTCGAACACAAACTGGATGAAAGACCAGGAAGCATGCCAATCCGACAGAAAAAAGAGGGGGCCGAAAGACATGAATAAAGCAATAAATGACGAAGTCGATAAATTGGTGAAAGTATGCGTAGTACAGGAATCGCTTTTCCCATCCTCGATAGCGAACCCAGTCTTAGTAAAAAAAAGAGATGGACAATGGAGGATGTTCATAGACTTCAAGGAAAAAAACACGGAATGCCCAAAAGACTGCTACCCGTTACCGTCTGTAACACCCGCAGATTCGGGTAGTCAATTAGAGATAATAAGCGTTAAGAATTACTTTTTTGATAAAAAATTATTTAGGATAAATAATGTTAACCATAGTTATAGTATATGTCACAAGGATTCCGTACATATAAAGAACGATGAAATCTGACTTCGTATGAAGAAGTTATGCTTCTTCGAAGTTTCACGATTAAACCGACACGACTCTGCGTATCGTAAAAAGTGAGATTTGATAAAGTACTTTTTATCCTTAATAATCTAAACGAAAGTCATAGTATTAGTTAAACCGAGAGTGTGCATATAGAGAACGTCAAAATCTGACTTCAGTAGAGGAAGTTATGATTCAACGTAGCAGTATACAGCTCAGAAATCGAATTTTAGATCGGTAGATTTTTAGCCGAAACAATCTAAACGATAATTGAAGATCTCATTAATAGGAGTTCAACGATATAAAGACAGTTGAAAACAAACGTCAGATGACAAAGTGATGAATTTTTAATAGACTTTAATTGTTTAAGCCTATTAAAATATAACTTTAAAAATAAAATCGAAATTAGCCGACCGAGTCTAAACAAAAGTTGTAGATCTCGTCGGTAGTTACGTGTGGATATAAATAACGTCAAAAACGAAAAATGTATGCGAAATTTATGGATTTTACAAGATAATTAATTTTCGGATTAACAAGAGTGCGGCACGTGTCGCGATCTGGTACGCCCCTTTCTCCTCACGGGTTGCCACCAGATGACGACACGTGGCCCCAGTACGCCCAACATAAGTTGAGTACACCAAACGTACCCAATACACCCAGCGTAATATGAGTACGCCCAGCATACTGGATCTCTTGGCAACCTATAAATAGAAGGCGATTTTCACTCTTTTCTTCATACCTTTTCATCCAATCTTTTCCAAAACCCTCCCAAGGTCCCTAGGCCTTTCTCTAGCACTTCCTAATTGTTATTAGCGAAGCTCCGGAGCATCAGAAAGCCACGAGAAATAGAATTTTCGGTTTAGAATTCTGCCCACGTAAAGTCTGGTTTTTCGCTAAACCACCTGTAAGTTGAGTTATACTTACCATGCTTTAAGTATAACTTATGTTTAAGTTCATTATCGTTATTATGAACCTATAAACAAGATTTATCAGTGATTCCAATTCCTTATACTGATTGATCTACTTACAGGGATGATGACAAGGTTCGATTTAGTGAGGTGTTTAAAGCGGGCTTTCCAAACAGTATACTCTATATACAAAAAAGACCATACCTCCGATATGATCTTACATGGTTGTCTCTTATCAGTTATAGATCAGTAAGCTTTGAATTAGTAATAAATCTAAACTAATAATTAATCGCAAGAAATATTAGACTAAGACTTAGTGATAATGATACTAGGTTACGTCAAAGGAAAAGACAATTGCTAGAAGCAAAGTGTTGTCCGAGTTTCGAGTCATCACTTTATCAAGTGAGTGCATAGTTACTTTCATCTTACACATAGATATGAAATATCTAATTAAAGAACTGCTATATATGCTTATGTGAAATGATGTTATGTGTTAGATGAAATGTTATAAAGATAAGTTTATTTGATTTATACCGTATATGTATTTTTATAAATATCATACATTGGGTAACGAAGGGTAATGAAAGATACCAGAGTATGATGAAAGATAGGGTGTCATAGTATGACAAAAGAATTAGACAATGATAGAATGCCATTACTTTGGAATTGTTATTTTACCAACGATTTAGTCACTTAGCAAAGTATAGGTGACAACTACCGGACTAATTGATGATAGTCCCGTAGAACACTGACAGCTATGGACGTAGTACATATTAGATAAACACTGGTAGCTATGGACTTAGTGTCTATTAGATAGATATTGGCAGCTATGGACTTAGTGCATATTAGATAAACACTGGCAGCTATGCACTTGGTGCCTATTAGATAGATACTGGCAGCTATGGACTTAGTCCCTATAAGATAAACACTGGCAGCGATGGACTTCGTGCATAAACGCCGACAACGATGGACTTCGTGCCTAAACGCTGGCAACGATGGACTTCGTGCTTATTCCTTTGGACAAATCCTTAGGAATAAAAATAGAAAGAAACCTACTGACATGTGTTGCAGAGAAATCCCTGTAATAGTATTGTCAGCAACGATGATTAAGATGACCCTTAGGATAAATCCTTAGAGAAGAATAAATAGTAAACCGGGGATGGGTAATTGGGTTAATTTTTTGATAATTAAACACATTGATTATATTAATGTGGGTTGAAAAACCTATGTACTCACCACGTTTCCCAACCTGACCCACTCAACTTATTTGTATCACATGTATCGATGTGAAGATACATTACACAGAGAAATTAAAGGAGATGTAGATCATTAGTGTAAATTAATCTAAGGTTTGTTTATGCTTATGTTTTGTATCAGTTATGACATCTCAAGTTTTGAAAATATATCAATATCGAATGTTTCTTCAAAAATGTTTAATGTTAATATTATCTCACATTGAAATAATATTTTTGGGACCAATTTCGCAACAAAAGAAATACTTTGTTTTAAAAATAAGCATAAATAAAAGTTCTAAAATGACCGTAAATTTGGGATGTCACACCGTCCATCGATGAAAAGATAGAGTCCCTACAATGACATAAATGGAAGAGTTTTCTGGATGCTTACAAAGGATACCACCAAATACACATGCACCATGGGGATGAAGAAAAAAACGTCTTTCCATACGGATAGAGTAACATTTTGCTACATAAAAATGTCATTTGGACTAAGGAATGCAGGGCAACGTACCAAAGATTAGCTGATAAAGTTTTTGAGCCACAAGTTGGGAGAAACATTGAAGTCTATGTGGATAACATGGTTGTCAAAAGCAAAAACGACAGTTATGTCTTGCAAGACATAGCGAAAACCTTTGCCAACTTAAGAGTTGCAAAATGTGAAATTGAACCCCAAAAGTGTATCTTTGGGACGGAAGAAGGAAAATTCTTAGGACACGCCATCACAAAGGATGGAATAAAAGTGAACCCTAAAAAGATAGAAG